AAGAAATGAAAGAAAGGCAGAAAGAGGGAGAAGAAGATGTGGGGTGAAACTGAGAGGAGGTTGGGGGGAACAGAAGCATTCCAATACGGAGAAGACCCAATTGTTTTCATAAATCATTCAATTTAGAGGAGTTCGAGAACGAAAGGAAGAAGCCTGTGCCCTCCGTCAGGGAAAATCAAGGCTGAATGAAAACTCTTCTTTTGCTGGTGTTGGATGAGTGGTTGGGTGGGAGAAAAAGAAAGAAGTGGACCAGGGGAGACCACTTGGAGGATTTATTAATCCTGGCAGGCTGCATTAGGGCGTAGATTGAAAACATGTCTGGGAAAGTGCTTCGGACAGAATGCCTGTTGTGGCACAGCTGCATCTGAACTTTCCAGTGGGTGTGGGGTGGAGGACCAATGGGGGAGTTATATTTTAAGAATCAAACTCAGACTGGAGAACTTTTCATAGTCTGATAGAGACCTGGCTCATACAGGTCTTTAAGAGAAACGGGTACCCCACGTTGGGAATGGGTGAACTAGAAACATGACGGGCCAGCAGGATGTAGCAGGTGGCAAGTGGCAGCAGCAGCAGCCAGTATTTGTGGCTGGGATGAGGGGACATCCTCTGACACAGGCTGGAGAAGGGGAACAGTAACACCAAATGCCACCAAAAGCTGGTGTTGCTCTGCTTGGAAGGAGGTTTTTTGTAGAGAGCTTTGACATCAGTGGTTTTATCTTCCTGGGTTTCTGCCATCCATTCCACCTTCGGAGGGCACCTCCTGTTGGCAAATCAGGTGCTGCGTTGGCCAAAGAATATGCCCTCGTAGAAGGGACTAGAGGAAATTTCATTGGAAACCAGAAGTGCGGCAGTTGGTCCCGAGCATTCCATGTATTTCAGGGGTGCAGGGAGAGGAGAGCAGATTCCTGGTGGTATTTTAATTCAGATAGGCATACCTGATGGCCACCTTGCTTGGTAACTTCACCTTTTGCCTGTCAGTCTGTTACTGTCATGCCTTTTTTCCTGGTCATACTCTCAGTCATATGAATTGCTCACAAGGTCTCCCACCCCGCATGCTTCTGCAGCTTTGTGCAAATCCTGATTTAATCCATATGAGACTCATAATAGCCAACCCTCCCCACCCAGGCATCATTTCACTCCTGGTGTCTTTTAACGTCCTGAGTCTCCTTCCCCCTGAAAACCACTCCCGAGGTGAAAGTCTGAACATTTAGTCCCTAATTTATGTCGTGCTGAAAGGATCCTCTTTAATACTTCTGTAACAGGCGTGGCCTCTCTGTAGGATAGATTCAACTTTGTGTTTAAGTCTTCAGGAGGGGCTGGGTTGGAGTTGTCTTTTAACAGACTGGCTGTAAAGCCTGAAACATCCACATTTGCACCCACGCCAGCCACATCCAGCGATGGTCAATTTCTACCTCCTTTTTAAGGTTCTATGCTTACTTAAGAGTGAAAGTACCATGTTTCTAAAGCAGAGTTCTGAGGAAGGAAAGGGACAGAGGCATGAGCTTAGCATCAGCAGTTTCCTCTACAGGCAGTCTGGGGACTTGGTCTCATCAGAAATGTTGTCTAGTTCCATGAATGAGGCCCAGCTCACAGTCAGCGGATCTGCCCAAGTAGCTGTCTACAGGGAGATGGGGGAGGGGGAGGAGGAACCACCAGCCAGTCCTGTTGGTTGCACACTTAATACTTGTTTATGGATGAGGGCTACTACCCACTGAGTGAACTTCCCCAGGATATTTTAAGTCTGTTTCTGAAGATAATTTAGTACCAGGATAGAAGCTTACATTCAATTCGTTGATTTCATAGCAATATGCATACATCATACAACCTTACTCCAAGCAAAGCATCCCCTGGTCCCTCCCTCTCCGCCTCTGTGAGGCATACTTGATGAGGCAATATCTTTATAATGTATCAAGTTGCGAGCAGATGTCTGACTCAAATGTCCGAACGGTGTAGCAGTGTGGGAGGCGGTGCTTAAGGGCTCAGAGCTGAGCTTCGGCCCGAACCCCAGTACCTGGTTCTGCCGTTTAGCGGAGTGCCTTAGGCAAGTGACTCTACCTTGCTGAGCCTGTTTTGTCAGCTTGAAAATAGAAACAATAATCGTAGCTGTCTCAGGCAGTGAGTTAGGAGGACTGAGTCAGGTAAAGCACTTCCCACGGTGCGAGGGACAGAGTGATTGTTTAATACGCACTGCCTCTAAAACAAACAGCTCAGAGCTATAATGGCCAAAGGAAATCTACAGTTCCTTCCAGTATTGTGTTTTTCCTGCCTACCCATTTCTCACCCTGATGATGCTGACCATAAAAATTGTGAGATTTCAGCTCCTGACAGGCGACAGGAGGTGGGGTGGGTGGGATGAGAGCAGTCCCATATTTTCCTCCCTAAGGTCCTATATTTCCTTCCCTGAGGGGAGGTTAGCCGCTTTGTGATCTGATGCTTTCAGTTAGGGGGTGGAGGGCTGGTGAAGAATTGTCTGGATTCAGAATGGATTGGTACGACATCCCTATGGAAGATTATCCTGTTTTGTGTAGGGATGACCAAGCACTGCCAGTCTAGCCAAGGCTCAAATTCCTTGAAAACCATAGTTTTAATCCCTAGCCCATCAACTCTAGAGTGACAATATAATTTGTAGTTCATATCAAGAGTGAAAAGGGTTGCCTGTGGGTGGTTATTCCAGGATGGAAGCTCTAATGGGAAGTATCCCAGGCAAACCTCACCCTGTACCAGCTGGAAGAGAGCCAGCATGAATCAATAAGATACTTGGAGTGTACGAGACCCCCTCTTTTGTTCCTGCCAAAGAAGTGTAGTCGTTTTCCTGGCATTAAGTCATTCTCTTTTTTAATTGCTTAGTCCAGAAAAGTTTTCACCTGAGAAGTTTAGGCTCAAAGTGGGAAACCTAGTGTCGGAGGCCAACTCAAACTGTAATATTCAGATCAACAAAGAGTAGTTGAGGACTTAATGAACACGTAACTATCATTTGTAATTAGTATCTCAGTTGTTTGTAGATACAGGAGTGTCTGTAAAGGGCTAGAGAGGTGGCCCCCTTAAGTAGACTCTGCGTTCCCTTTACCATTCTTTGGGCAAGCTATTAATTTTCTTCGAAAATCCTTTCCATGCAGGATAGTCCAGAAGCAGACTTCAGCCCAGTCCCTGTCTAAAGGATCATAAATTCCAAACTATTGGAGATTTTACTGCATAAAGGGAAAGACGGCCAAATTGTAAGGCAGGGAAAATGCCTTTGAACCACTTAATTCAAGTCTCCCCTTCGTGCCAAGAGATCAGTTAGCACATTTGTGCTGACTCTGTCTCTAGGAGCAGAGTGAGGGGCTGTTGGGAGGCGATGTCCTGTGGTTAAGAGCCAGGAGACGAGGGTCAGGGAAGATGCTTGCCCTGGCGATGAATGAACATTTTCTCGGGAAAGGGAGTGTTACTGTTTGGGTCAAACCTTTCTCCTTCTGAAAGGTGAAATTGGTTGAATGGTGTACAGGGTCAATGAGGGGATCGTTTCTGACACTGCCGTGTTCACCTGGCAACTGTGCTGTCTTAGAGACCCGAGCTGCGGTAGATGTTCAATGAAAGTTGGATGCATTAATTGAATGAGTGCACATGGTCCAGATCCAGTATCAGATTAGCCCTCTCCCAGCCCCACCCCGGTCCTGACAATCTGAGGATGCTGGTCAGTGCAACCCGGGAGGCTGGGAGACACACACACACTGCAAATAGATTTGACTCTCACTAGTGTCAGGATGAAGCTCTCTAGATATAGATGTCTGTGTGGCTGGGTGAGTGAACATGTCGGCTTGTCCGGGGGCAGGAGATCAAACTTAATGTCACTTGGAAGTGCTTTCCAGGCCCGTGTCAGTCTCCGTTAACTCCACCCCGACTCCAGGCCACCAAAATGGGGCCACGTCCCTAAAAAAAGCCTACCTCCTATAAATGAGGATGGAAGCCTGGGTCAGGTGCCTTCGGCTCCTTGGCACCTCAGTCATCCCACAGGGGCGCAGTACATTTTTTAAAATATCGTTTCTTTCAGAGTGGCTGGACTTACCTTCCTGCAAGGTGGAAGAGTTCGCAGGGGCTTAACAAAACCGGAGTTCTGTAATTGCTTGTTAGTAGGACTTTCTCTGAGGTGAGAGAGAATATTTCTGGGGTGGAAGAGGTAGAATGGTGAAGAGCTTGGGCTCTGAAGTCAGATGGACCCAGGCTGACATTCTGCTGGGCTACTTCCCAGCTCTGGAATCTGTTAGTCACTTCACCTCTCTACGCTTCACTTTCCCCACCGGTGAAATATTCATCTCACGGAGCTGCAGTGAGATTATTCTCACTACAGTCGCCTAAAAGAGCCCCTGGGGATTTGTACAGAGCTGTGTTAAAAATCCGACAGGACCTGAAGGCAGACTGATCGCAGGAAATGTTTCCTTTTACTGTTTACAGACGCTCACTGGCTCGGTGGCTTTTGGCAAGCAACTCGACCTTCTCAGTATCAGTTTCCTCATCCAGAAAATGGGACTAACAATAGCAGCCACCTCCAAGAGCTGTTGGGAGGACTGAATGAACTAGTATATGGGAAGCACTGTTTGGCACACAGTGAGGGCTCCATCAGTGTTAGCTCTTACTATTAATAATAAATGATCGTTTTTATTATTCCTACGTGTCAGGCCCATCAGGGAGGAAAAGATGAATGAAATGCAGTCTTTCCATTTGAGGGCCTCGGAATTTAGCAGCAAAGGGAGACATAGACAGGAGTGTGTATGACTGAGGCAGATCATCTTAAGTACTATAAATGTAGGTAGGAATAAAGAAAGGGGGATGTGGAAAACCAGAGGAAGAAGAGACCCTCAGTGAGACCTGGAGTCCCTTGCTTATTATCATACAGTAATCCTTAGTTATCTCACCTGTAAAATGGGAATGATTCTTTTTCTTCATCAGTTTTACCTACAAATGCAAGGAATGATCAGAATGAATACAGACTTTATTCCCCGTAGAGTCTCAAGAAAGAGCTTTCCTTTTCCCAGAAGAAAAAGCAGGTTAAACTCTGGAGGGGGCATTATCTGTGGGGAGTCCCAGTCAGTGCTAATGAAGGGAGGCTATGGAAAGGAACTGCCCTTATAATATAAATCTCCCAACTCCCCTGTCAGTGGCTTAAGGATACAGACTCGGGCATGGGCTGTTAGGTTTCTTGTCCTTCATGGTCCAGCGCTGGCTAAAACAAAATCCAGTCTTCATTCCTCAAGCAGCCACCGACGCTGGGGGGAGCAGAGTGAGCCCATACATGTCAAAGAGAAAATAAACCACCGGGGAATGAATGTACAAAGAAGAAGAAGCTGCCTGTGGCTAAAAACCAAAGCTGTACTTCATTCATTCAACAATTTTCTTGAGCTCCTGCTTGGTATAGCAGTGAACAGCATGAAGCCCCCCGCTCTCATGGGGGAGAAAAATAGTAAATGAAGAAACAAACAAATAATATAAGGTCAGGTGGTAGTAAGTGCTTTTAAAAAGAATGAAGCTGAGCAAAAGGCTAGAGGGTGGGGGCGGGGATGGCTTTATTGGATGGCGAGGCCAGGGACCTGGAGAAGGGAGGGAGCCAGCCATGAGGATTACTGGGGGGAAAGTGTTTGAGGGAACAGCATGTGCAAAGGCCCTGAGGTGGAAGCATGTTTGATGTATTTGAGAAATAGCAAGGAGGTCAGTGTGGCTGGAGCAGAATGGGTGAGGGGGAGACTGACAGGAGCTGACTCCCTAGACATAGGCAGGAAACAGATCAAGCAGGGCCTTGTAAGACATCTAAGGATTTCCCAGGTCCTCAGCTCCTAGGCTGGGGGGATGGAGGGGGTCGCAGGGGCGCTCCTGCCCTCTCAGTCAGGGTCCCTGGTCTGATCTGCTTCTCTTGGCTCCTCTCTCCCGACTCTAGTGCAACCAGGGATGACTTTGAACGGCAGAGTCAGAAGCTTAGCTGGGCCCCTCCATGTGTTATGGACAAACATGAAATTTACACGTCACTCTGATTGTGATCAATCAGATTAGGAAATTGAAAAAGACACTGTTTAGACTTCCAAATAGAAGTGGCAAATCTTATTCCCATGACGGTGAGGGCTTGGTGTATCTCTCATATCCATGGGTGCAAATCTATACTATCCCTCTCACCTCACAGCCCCCTTTGCCACACACCCTTGAAGCTACAGTCTGTGCTCGCAGGCTCTTTCTCTCCCTCTCTCCCTCCCTCCCTCCCTCCCTCTCTCCCTCTCCCTCCTTCCCTCCCCCATCTCCATTGGAGATTTTGCTGAGGGAGCTCCCATATACCACAGCCTGTATGTAGAGCTCTGAGAAATAAAATACAGAATTAAGATGTCATAGAGACAAAGCCAAACCAAATCCAGGAACAATGCCGAACCCTAAAACAGTCATTAAGTAATTCACGTCTGCATTTGTCTGTTGCAAACAAATATTAAGATCCTCTGGACGCAAATGTTTCTCATCAGGAGAATCCCTTCGTTGCTGAATTCCCTGGGCTTACATCCCGCTGACAGGTTCGCTGAGCAGAAACACCAGCGGATCACTGTTCTCTGGCTTCATTGAAAGTGAAGCTTAGGCAAGTGAGCTGGGATTTTACAAGGCAGTTACCACTCCTACGGGAAGAGAGGTGCCATCTGGGCCTGACGCGTGTGCATTCATAGTGTGTGCGCGCACTTGCTCACGGTGGGAATGTGTGTGCCGAGCTCCTTACGTTATTATGTGCCCAGCCCTGTGCCAAACACGTTTCATCTGTTGTCTGATTCCATCCTCACAGTAACTTTAGGAGAGAGGTATTTTGAAGACCCAATTTTACAGATGAGGAAACTGAGGCTCAGAGAGTAGAAGTGACCTGCTCGTGGGAACGTGGCTGGTGAGTCATAATTGGAATAAAAACCCAGAGCTTTTAACTGAGAAGTTTATAGTCTAGTACACTTTGCAGAAAAGGAAAAGCTGAGACCAGAGAGTTGAAGTGTGGCTTGTCCAAGGTCACATAGTATGTAAGTACGAAACGAGGATCTGAAATCAGGTCTGCTCAATGGCAAGTACGTTCTTCTCTACCTGCTGTACGTCCTGTCACTGTGGTTTGGATTTTAAGGTCATGGGTGTTTTTGTGTTATTTTAATCATCTTATTTTACGTCCAGTTAGCTTAGGCAATTGCCATTGTTATAATCCCATCTCACACCACTGTCCGTAACACCGTCTTCCTCTGTCCTTACCCTTCTTACCCATCTCCATGTCGAGCTAGAAGAACCTCTTTGAAAAGTAATCCAGACCATATACACTCTCCTTACCCTCGTCTAAAGCCCTGCATCACTGTCCATTGGTTTGTAGAACTTTAGGCCTTGGTGACTCCCTGCCATGGTACAGCCCCTGGCCACCTCCCCCAAGATCATTTCTAAAATGCTGCTTCTCACTCCGTCTGCTCTGGCTGCATCCCATTCCTCCTTTTAGTCACTCAAATTTTCCATGCCCTTCCTGCCACCAGGCCTTTACACATGATGCCAAGAAAGCTGTCCCTCTCCCTTGGTGCCTAATTTATACCTACTCCGCTTTCAGATATCAACTCAAATGTCATCTCCTTAGGGAATCCTCCCACAATGCTCTAGACTAGGTCACACCTGGCATTACAGACTCTCATCACTATAGTACCTCTCTTGGTTCTCGACACATTTGTAATTTTACACTGACTTACGGGATCATTGGTTAAAGTGTACCTCTTCTAATAGACCGAAAGCGTCATGAGGATGCGGACTGTGTCAATCTGCTTGTTGGTTTACCTTTTTCACTTGAGACATAGTAGGGGGCCAAACAAATGTTGGTTGAATGCATGAATTGTAGCAATTTCACCTCATCAAATCATTCTTACACCTAATAGTCTGAACCACATGGAATTTCCAATATTCAAAAACAGCAGTGTTTCCTTTGATTCACAGGAGAACTCTTTGAACTACTGAGGGTGGAGACCATGTCTGTCTCATTCCTTGCTGTATCTCAGCACCTAGAACAGTGGCCCGTGGTTGGCCCATTTTCTTTAGATGTTTGTTGAATGAATGATTGAGGGTATATAAGTGCATGGTACAGATGAGGAAACTCAGAGACCTACAGACATACATCTTCAGAATTTTAGAGCTAAAGGGACCTTTAGGAGATTATCCAGTCTCCTCATTTTACACGTGGAGGACAGAAAGATATGTTTTATAATATTTATAATGTATCGGAACAACTGTACAGATATAATTTATAAATACACTTATCTGAGGGTTCATTCTCAAAACTTCTTACTGAGAGAGTTAAGAGGTCAGAAGGTTTCCAGGACCTGCTCATGTAGTTCGGCTCCTCATTTTGCAGATAGGAAGACTGAGACCCACAAAAGGGGAAGGACTTGTCCAAGGCCCTTACGTAGCCTGAGTCAGCCTGGGTGAGCTCTAGGTTCGGTGAAGTGGTGTTTGCCCAACATCAAGGTTTGTGTGTGAGCGTCCCTGCTGTGATCAGGAGATCAGACACTGCTCGCTCTTGCCCCCGACCCCTCGCTGTGAGATATGGCATCCTGCCCCATGAAGACCTCTTGTTTCATATGCCGCCCAAAGCCTGGTCTGGGGATCCTGATGAGATGTCCATCTGTACTCAGCCTGGCTGTTCCTGGGATCATATTTCAGAGCTTTCAGCCACTAAGGAGGCTTTTCTCTGGCCAGCCGCCCTGTCCAGCCGCCCTTCCAAGGCCAAGCGGCAGGTGATTCTGGGGCCCAGCCCACTCCCATAGAGGGTAGGTAGGCTCGGGGCAACTCTTTACCGTGTGGATGGTTTTTTCTAGCCGGAAACCATCACCACAATAGCACATCCCAGTGATCAGCTCCTCATTAACCAGTGTCAGCTCACTGGGGCATTTAGTCGGCAGTCAGAACGGGAGGGCCAGAGGGGACATTGGAGGGACTCGAACACAGCCTCTTTATTTTATAGATGGGGAGACAGGGGCACAGAGAGTCCACAGGGCACTTTGTGGAGCATCAGAATGTTAACGCCCAAGGTATAGCTGACATACGCGCCACCTGACACCCAGTTCTAAGACACCACACTGCTCAGAGTTCCTTGGAGAAGAAAGCAGAAAAATTACTGTATTCCCATTTTACAAATAGGACAAATGAGGCTCAGAGATATGAAATGACTTGCCAAAAGTCACACCATGAAATCGTGATACATTATTGTGGTGGTGGTGGTGGTGGTTTAACTATTACTGTTGACCTCATTTGATTCTCACAACAGTTAAGTGCCAGTTTTATGTCCATTTTGCAGAAGAAGAAACTGAGGCTCAAGGTCTTATAAAGACCCAGAATAAACCCCGGGTCTCTTGACTCCAAGTTCAGTGTCCCCATCCCCCTGCAGACAAAATGTGTGACCCCAGGAGCTTGTGCACTGAGCATGGATCCACCAGGCAAGGGGAGGGAAGGTGTGACCACCTCTGGTCATTGACCAGCCTGCATTGCCAGTGTTACCCCCATTGAAGCCCCCTTCTTTCTCTACACTAAGCGTACCAGCCTCATGCCTCACACAGCTGCCCCCTGTGTATGCTCCTTTTCCTAAGTGGAGACATCCCTTTGAGTGACATCCCTTTTAATGGCCAAGGGAGGAGGGAGACATTGGAGTAGGACCCCAAAACAGCAAGGGGGACCCAGAGCTCAGGAGCCTTAGGAAGAAATTTACCCCATCATTGCAGGGGCCTGCTTGAGGGGAAACAGGCCCCAAACTACAGTGGGAGGAGCATGCATCTGGAAACCTTCCTTCCATGGGGGAGGTTATGTGTGACCACCCCGCTCCCCCAAGGAAGGACATCTTGCCACTAAGAGAGTTAGGGGTGGCCTTAAGAGCCTCTTCATCCCACCCTCCCTAACTTCCTGTTATGGAAGGAATCCAGCCCAGAGTAGTTAAGTAACTTGCCTAAGGCCTCACAAGCAATTAATGCCAGAGACAGTGGGTTCCTTGTAGAGCATCAGGGGGTTCCAGGGGAGAGGAAAAGAGCTAATACGATTGCCATCCACTGCCTGTACTCATCCGCACCCCAAAACACTGGCTGTTCCACCCTGGACCTATAGCGTTTATGGCCCTTTAGCAAATCAACTCTCAGTCTATCCCCAGTGATAGTTTGAATGCAGGAACTGGGGACTGTGGTCTAAGTGCTCCTAGATGTTTTTGATGTTCTCCATCTTGTCGCTTGGGCTAGGTGCCATCACAGCCAGCTGATGTTTGCTGTCCCCACTCTGGTCCAAAAGACCCCGTTGCCTTCCCTCTCCGTGGAAATTCTGGGTGCTCAGCATACTCCTCCATCCACCCTGCTCATCCAGCCCTCAGGAAGGCATCACTTCCCATTCACCAAGCAAACGCGGCTATGGCACATGCCAAGGGAAAGGGGTTGCATAGTTGGATGAGTTCTGGCTCTGTGGTTGATAAGCTTGGGCTTGAATCCTATCCCACCATCTATTAGCTGTGTGATTTTGAGCAAGTCACTTGGCTACCCTGAGCCTCATCTGCATCAGGGTGACAAAAGTCTCTAACTTGAATAGTTGCTGATTCCTGGTTTTACCTGTTAGGAGTGATTGCCCTTGGACATTAAGGTTCATGTTCAAAAGAGAATCAGTTTGGTAGAGGGGGAGGGCGAAAAGACACTGCGATTATACCCCTAAATCTCCGAGCTCATGGGTTCCATTCCCTATTATACAGGTAGAGAAAGAAAGGCTCAGAGAGGAAAAGGTACTTACCTGCCCAAAGTCAAATAGTGAATCAGAACCCAGGTCTCCTGACTCCCAGGGTTTACTTCTCTGCCTCAGTGACCTCACGAATGTCAGTGTCTCAACTTCTTCACCTGTCAAAGTTTTAATGATAGTTGCTAATCATAGTTTCTGAATACTTACTACATGCCAGTCACTGAGCAAAATGCTTTATCTGCAGTATATCACTTAATACACTGAACCATTTTTTAAGGTAGTTAGATATTATGACAAGTTCCATTTTGTAGATGGGAAAATTAAGGATCAGAAAGGTAAGTAACTTGTCTAAGCTCACACAACTAGGTGATGTCAGAGATGCGATTTGAATCCTGTGCTGGTAACTCTTACTAGCTCTTATTGGGAATGCCTGCTCTGCCAATCTCCTGGTGTAGGAAGGAAAGATCAGAAAAATTAGGAGCACCATAGGGAAACGAGGAAGTCCTTGACAAGCTGTTTACATTGCTCCATCCCAGTGCCACAGTGATGCATGAGAGAGAACATAGTTCAAGACATATGTCCACTAGTACTGCCCAGTTTTATTTTCAGGTGAACAAACTCACTGAAGGAGTTTGATGCTACATTAATGAGCAGCTTTCCTGGAAGCAAGTTCCCCTAGGGAAGGGAGGCAGAGAAACAAGGAGAATAAGTGTTTCTTGAGTGAGAAATTTAGGGCTTCTAATTGCAACACCTACCCCAAGCTGACCCATTTAGGTGCATCTATTATGCAGTCATGGTCATTCTTCATAGGCACGGTACTTCACACTTGCTACGAACTTGACCGACACATCCACCCATCCATCCATTAACTCATCATCTCTTCCTCTATTCATTTATTTATCCATCCACTACGTAGTCACTCATCCATCCCTCCATCCATCTACCCTACACCCATCCATTGATCAAGGAACCATTCGTTTATTTATTCATTATTTCATCCATCCCTTCATCTATTCTCCAGCTATTTGTTCCTTCATCCTTTTTCCAGATATTTTCTTCTCCCATCCATCCATCCATTCATTCAACCAACCAATCAATCAACCAACCAACCAACATTTATTGAGCATCTACTTTGTGCCTTTCTTTACCATTTCCCTATATTTATGGTAAAGTAAGGTTTATTGATTTCATTTAACAGATGATAAGAAATGGCAGGTCAGATCATTTATTTTCTAAGACCTTACAGGCATAAAGCCTGGTTGAACTTGTTCTCCCAATCTTAGTTCTTTGTAAGACACCTAAAACATTGTAGTCCCAAGGAATTTAGGCACTTTACGTTTGTTGGTTTTTCTCTGAGGCCTTTTGCTATTGAGATTTAAATGATTGTACTTATTCATTCTTGTCAGAAACAAAGAATCACAATTGCTACGATCCTTTGTTAAAACTTGTGCAAGGGGATTTCACATCTGAAATCCCTTCTGATTATCCATTCATACCTTCACCCAGCACTGAGCTTCTACTATATGCAAAGCATAGTCATGAATAAAGATATCTCAAGTTGCTTACATTCTAGTAGGAGAGGCATGTCTATTAATAACTAGCAATTAGCGGGCATGGCAGGAGTTACTTTTGTCGAAAAGAGAGTTAAAGTCTGAATAGATAAAGCGACTGGCCAGAGATCAGCGAGTTAGTCGTAATGCCATGCAATTTTAGATATTGCCTGCTTATAAACTAAGCTCTACGCTGGGCCATTTGTAGATGTCACTTCACTGAATTCACCCCCCAGTCCTATGCAGTAGATAGCGTTGTCCCCATTTTGTTGATGGTGGAAGTGAGACTTAGAGGCTTTAAGCAACTTGGCCAAGGTTACCACCTTGTAAGGGTCAGAGTTAGGGTTATAACCGAGATGTACTTGCTGCCAGTCTTCTCTCTTACCCAACTCTTGCTTCCCCACAGGCACAATATGGGGAATGTCACTGGTGAGGCCTAGCTTTCTCCTGCTTTCAAGTTTCTAGATGATCAATTCAGTGGAAGCTTCCGCAAAGACTGGGCTCCAGCAGAGAGGGAAGGGACTGCCCAGCAGGGAGGCTGACCTCATGGGGCTGGGTGAGGGGTTGCCTGTGGGTAGTGGTGGTCCTTTTTCACACGGGGCAGTTACTCAGAAGGAGAGTCCGCCAGTGGGAATTGCCTTTCATGCCCAACAAGAGGATTATCGAACCATCCATGAAGGGGGACAACCCTTCAAGACAAGGACACAAGAGATATTGGTAGTTAACCATGTGTTTTCTTGCCCAGAGCTAAACCCAAACATGGCAATGCAGAGGATCGCAAGTGGAATCATTGGTGTTGAGGAAGAGCGTGGGAGAATAGATACTTGTTAAGCACAAGAACGTCCCATTTCCTTGCGCTAAACTTGTAGGGTGATTAAAGACAGCCTTACATTGTAAGAACACGGGTCCAGAGAGGTTATTTTACTTGCCCAAGGTTGCCCAGCTTGACCATCAATTCACACATATTACCATGGAGACACCCATCATTTCTGCCCACATGGGACTTTTCTGGTCTTACAGACCTCTCCCTCCTCCCCTCTCCTCCTCTCCCTTCCCCTCCCATCTTCTCTCCTCTCCACTCCCCAGCAGAGGCAATCTATTTCAGCTCTGGAGAAATCTTTCTTCCTTTGTGTTTCTTCAGGACTCTCTCCTTAAGTCCGTAAATCCTCTTCCCCTAAAGGCTTTGAGTTTTCCAAAAAGCAAAAGCTAAAAACACTCTCATATTCTTCCTGTTTTCAGCCCTGACACATGCCTCCCCTGAGGCAAGGAGGGTAGAACCCATGATCTGCTTAAATGGTAAAAAAGAAAAGGGGAAAATACAGGGAGAAAAAAAACAAGTAGATCAGGATCTCAAAACAGTATCCCATTTCCATGCAATATTTCCTTTAAGCTTTTGAGGTGGGTACTGTTAAGACATCTCCAGTTAACAGATGAGGAAGCTGAAGTTCAGAAACGTTATGTGACTTCTCCAAGGTAACACAGCCAGGAAGTGGATCCAGGATTCAAACCCAAGCTTGTAAGACCCCAGCAGTCAAGATTTTAACCACTATGTTCTACTAACACACTACCTATGAGAAAATAATATCAAAATTGTCCAGAGATGAGATCTGACTTGCCCAAGATCATTCAGCAAGTCAGCAGAATGGGAGCCACATTTGCTGATCAGAGGCATATCAGTCAATATATACATATAATGGGCACCACCTGCATGCATCTGGGCCTATGCCCATGTAGTTCAGTCTCTAAGGAGGTTACACTCAAGACCCAAGAGTAAAGTTCAGGGAGGAAAGAGATATTCATTGGAGTGTCAGCTAAACTACAGACCTATGCAACTGAGTGAAGTAAGGGCAGGATGGCAAAAAAAAAGTTCCATAGGGGCTTCCCTGGTGGCTCTGTGGTTGAGAGTCCGCCTGCTGATGCAGGGGACGCGGGTTCGTGCCCCGGTCTGGGAAGATCCCACATGCCGTGGAGCGGCTGGGCCCGTGAGCCATGGCCGCTGAGCCTGCGCATCTGGAGCCTGTGCTCCGCAATGGGAGAGGCCACAACAGTGAGAGGCCCGCGTACAACAACAACAACAACAAAAGTTCCATAGAGAATGTCAGCAGCTTCAATCAATTAGTAGTATGTGCCGGAATCACTGTGCTGAGAAGGCTTCTGGGGCTACATCTGAGATGAGTAACAAAGAATGCTTTGATTCATTAGTGATGTCTGTCCTTGGTGCAAGAAAGGAAGGTCGCAGTATGCATGCTATATATTTATCTTTCCCAGGAAGGGAGTGCTACAGCTTTGGGAAGGATCAGATCAAGTAGTATCCTTGCTGTTGGTGCTTTGCTTTTTACATTCATTGTTTCAATTAATGCTCATCACAAAACACCCCCTCCCCCCATTAAACAGATAAGAAAACAGAACCTCACAAAGGGAAGGTCACCTGCCCAAGGCTAAAGAAGCTAGACAGTGGCTAACCAGCTCTGATAACTACTGTTAAATACATAAACCATTAGGTTGATGAATAGAAATGTCAATAGAAGAGCAATCCAGGAATCTGTTAGTGCCTGAATGTATATATCTGGCCAGAGGGCTTTGTCTTGTTTATCTCCATATACCCAGCCACTAGCACAGGACCCAGGACACAACTGATACCCAATCCATATTTACTTAGAGCTGTGAACAGGCATTGTGTTATATACCCCGGGAGAGGTGGTTTAGAGAGCGAAGAGATTTGGCTGCGCTTGTAATGGGAAAGTATCTAGTTCAGTGCTTTGCACAAACTAGGTACACAGTAAGTATTTGTTGAATCAGCGAGTTCTAGAGGAGTTGGCTACTGGGAGAGATTCAGAAGACAAGACAATCTGGATGGAGACAGGGCTCAAGGACCAGCCTGCCCACTGCTGATCCACAGTATGCCAGGCCAAGCAGACACATTTCACCATCTCCTCAGGCAAGTCAGGGAGCTGAAGCAGGGCGAGGAGGAGAAGGGGTGTCCTGCACCAAGGGAGCCATTTCTGGCTTTGTGTTCTCCCAGCAGGATGCTGGGAGGCTGCAGGAGCCAGATCTGCTGCTGGGGCTCCGGAACTCAGAGCCAGGGCGATGGAGGCCAGCTTCGTCTTGCCTGGAGCGCCTGAGTTGCTGTGCAGCAAGGCGGGGAGGCAGCAGGGAGGGCTGGCCTCAGGGATGCCAGTCTTCTCCCGCCACATCTTTTCCCAGCTGTGTCCAGCCTCTGTTCAGTTTGGGGGTGATTTATCATCAGAATTGGCATACTGCATTCTTTTTTTTTTTGCGGTACACGGGCCTCTCACTGTTGTGGCCTCTCCCGTTGCGGAGCACAGGCTCTGGATGTGCAGGCTCAGCGGCCATGGTTCACGGGCCCAGCCGCTCTGCGGCATGTGGGATCCTCCCTGACCGGGGCACGAACCCGTGTCCCCTGCATCGGCAGGCGGACTCTCAACCACTGCGCCACCAGGGAAGCCCTAGCCTGCATTCCTTACCATCAGACCACACTGCCTATGTTAAGAGCAACTTTCAGAGTGTTGTTGGGAGAATTAAATGCAGTGATAGACAAAGTGATTAGGTCAGTGCCTCGACTGCCATTAATGTTTATTAAATGTTGCTACAAAAAAGAAAACAAGGAAAGGTACTCAACTGTCAGAAAGTTTCTCTTTGATCTTTGGGAAGTAATCTCCCTTGATTGTTTTTTCCTTTGAAAATTTCGTGTTCCATTTATTCACTGTCACATTCAGAAACATATTTATCGGGTGTGTTTTACGTGCCAGACCTAGTGCTGGATGCTTGGGTTGTGACAATGAACTGGATAAAGTCTCTGCTCTCCAGGAGCAGAGTTATGACACGGGATGGATTTATTCTCCCAGAATTCTTAGACATTCTCAGAAAGGACACCAGAGTTGTCAGAAAATTGGGGTCTGATTGGCCCGTTGGGATAGGACGGAAACTCAGTTGACTGAGAGGGTCTGATCTGTATCCCATTCGTAGGGCAAACCTAGTCAGTAGGCAGGTGTAAAGGACCATATTATTTTTATTTGGGTCTTTCCAGGAAGCTTTCCTTTCCCGTATAGAGCCTTGCTTCCATACCAGTTAGGGCTGCAAGAGGCACAATTCTATTTCTCAGTTACCCTAGATGCTGTAACCGGTGCAGGGCTAGCATATGATATTAGGAGGGCCAGTCTCAGCCCTTCCCTGGGATCGGGGGCAAGGGAGGGGTCTCTCCTTGGGCTCTGGTGGCGAGAAAGGCCAAGCTGGACAGGAATCATAACGCCCAGCATTTACTGAGTGTTTATCCCAGTGCCAGGCACTGTGCTGAGAGCGGTGTGTGAATTGTACTGCTTCTATAGGCGGGTACATTTTCATCGTGCTCATCCTACACTTGAGAAGCCCGGAGGTCAGAGGAGGGTCACACAGCGAGTAAAGGGTGAATCGGGATTGGACTCACTGTACCGCATTGCTACCCATCGTCTCAGGGTCCCGGGCAGGAGGGGAGTTGTGGGAAGGCTTTGCTAGCCTTGCTGTACAGCCTGGGATCCAGGGCCAGGGGTAAGTAGATTGAACCCTTTGACTTGGCCTGCATTTCCCTGTCTTCCCTTCCCCCCCAACAACAGCAGCGTCCAATCCAAGTCCTAAACCTCCGAGCTCCGTACCTTCATCGTCTCCGGTGTGTGCTGAGCCCCAGTCCCCAGGCTTCTGTGGCATCCTTGATTCTTGATTCTCTCAGGGAGCTGCTGCAAAAAGATTGAAGTCAGCAACTGCGTATACCTCTATCAAAATGGAGGGCCATTTTGCATATATTTTCTGTTCCTGTTTTCCCCCAAGGGTGTGGGATTGTTAAGTAGGAGAGCTGGTAGAAGTTATGAGGGGAGATAACCAACTGAAAATGAGCTATCTTCTATGCATGAAGAGCTCAGTGTGGCTAAGATACCGCTCCTAGCACAGCTTCAAAAGGAAGCCCTCTTCACGGGCAGGAGAAAGACCACAGGGACCCTGGAACACCCCTGTCCTCATAAGCCCCTTTCAGGCTTGCCAGACGGCCTGACGTCGGTCACTGCCGTGGACTCCTTTCACTTTCATATCTCTTTGGGACCTTTGGACCTCTCAACCACGTGGTCTCCAAGTGCTCCTAAACAACCAACACAGAAAAAATGCAGAATTACCTTCCTCTTCTCTCTGTAGTTGACGATATTACAAAATTGTCATATGATGAGGCAGTCGGAATATACAACCAGAAAGTCTAGCGTGTGAAGTATGATAGAAGTGGTTCAGGCTGTGTTTTTAAAGAAGGCCCCCAACTGTGTAAGCTTCGGGCCCCACACACCTGGTTATGCCCCTGGTTCTGAGATTCTGAGGCCATAGGATCCCATGGTTCTTAAGTTCCATGGGTCCAAGACCTGTCATCTGCTGAGCCCAATGGGGTCCCTCCCGCCTCCTCTGGGACATTGTTCATCAGGACATTTGATCCTAGACTTCACAATCGTGGAACTCCCAGCTTTGAGCCCAAAGCATTTGTGGACCAGGACTGCGAGTTCCAAGGGGGTCAGAAAAGCACCACAGCTTCCCATGGCACCTTCTGGTGAGGGCAAGGGGGGTGGAGCAGAGAGCTCTCGAGGAGGCCTGATTTTCTTTGCATTTCTACATGCGTCTGAGTTTCTCTGTTATCCATCCTGCGGTTGACAGATCTGATGACAGAACTAGGTAGGTCAAGGTCAGGAGGGGCTCCAGTCTCCTGATTTACAGGCAGGGAAGTTGGCTGGAGCGTGCCAGCGGCCGGTCCAAGCCCGTGCAACAAGTTAGCCAACAGCCAGGACTTGAACCCAGGGAAGAGACCACCTTCCCTCTACACTTTACTCCCCCAGACTCAGAAAGGAGAGCAGGCACAGAGAAGGCACTTTGCTTCCTTCTGAGGAGGCACCGGGGGATGATTTCAAAGGCAGGAGTGAAGAGGATTTGCAGAGTCTGGGAAAAACAAAACAAAACCACTGTCCCAGTTTCCAGCAAGCCACAGCCCCTTCTTCCAGGACCTGTTTTCCTTTGTTCCCTTGGCGGTGCCCCAGGCTTCCCCTCCACTATGATTTCACTATATTTTGGGGGGACACCGAACGGGTTTGCCCAGAGAAGGTAAAGAATGCGGCTAGCAGCATCACAGTCCCTGTTGCTACAGATTCCAGTGTTTGCAGTTGCACAAAAGCCTGATTTGAAATAAACATAATAAAAGTTTTACAACAGGGTCAAGTGGGTATAGGGTTCCCACACTCTAGCTGACTCTGGGGGAGCAGCTAGAGCTCTCAGCTCAAAGTTCTGGGGCCTTGACACTTTCCTGCCCTGAGCCTGGAGAGGATGGATCCTAGTCAACAAAGCCAAAGGGGCTCCATTTTACAGTTAGGGGAACAGAGAAACGCAGCTGTCACAGAGCTCTTCTGAGATGATCAATGGAACTGTACCTGGGGAGAGTGTAGTATGGTGATTCCCAAACTGGGCTTCACAGTGGAATCACCTAGGAATCTTTAAGAAATAGTGATATCTGGGCCCCATGTCTGGACGCCCTTATTTAATTGATTCAAGGTGACATATGAGCATAGTGATGTTTTAAACTCTTCTTAGGTGATTCTAATTTGCAGTGATGATTGGGAACCACTGGCGGTGGTGAAGGCACAGGGTGATCTACATTTGAATCTTAGCTACAGTGTTTTATAACTTTGACCTTGAGCAAGTGATTTCATTCATGTGAGTCTGTCTCCTCCATCTGTAAGTTGGAGCTAATAGTAATATCTACCTCATCCAGGGTCAAAGTGGAAATTAAATGAGATAGTATGAAGTGCTTAAAGCAGTGCCTGTCATGTTATAAGTGATCAGTGCATGTTGGTTTTATTACTGTTTTTGCTATTTTATTACTAACATATATCATCATTCCAAGCCCCCAAGTTAGAAAATGAGGGGATCAAATCACAGGTCCACTGATGGATGAATTAGGATTCAGGAGACCTAATTCTCTTTTTGACTGTTCTGACCACATACGAGCTGTGTGACCTTGAGCAAACCTCTTAGCCTCTCTGAGTTTAGTTGCCTCATCTTGCCAGATGGGTCTTGTAGCCCCTGGCCATCTACTGTCCAGAAGAGTTGTGAGATTCCAATAAGATAATGGATTTGAATGAGCTTTGAAAACCGGAATGCACCAGAGGAATTTGAGATATTATGATTATGACGGCCATCTCATCCCCCACACGCCCGGGCTGGCCCATCTGTTCTGGGAATTTTTGGGTCTCTCTCTGCATCTTTTGGCCGTCAGTCCGGAGCTGTTCAGTCTGACACGTGGGCAGGTTCCAGAGAGGATTCTGTCCCTTCTCCACCCGCCCCTCAAGTTAACTCTTTTCTCTCCCCTCGTTTGGCTCTCAGGACGAATATCTGACTCCAGAGTGGGTGCCAGTGGCGCTCATCTTACTCTTTTTCCTGGGGTCCGGAAGTAGTCAGAGGTCTTGGATTCCCCAAAATGGGAGAGTTGGAAGGTCCCCATAAGACTTTCTAGATCGACCAGCAGATGAGGCAGAGTGGGGAGATAGAGCAGGGATTCGAACCCAGCTTCCTGAAGACGCCCATCTTGTGTTCTTCTGCTTCACCTCCATCCCTGCCCCGTCGCCCCAAGCTCTTGGTGACAGGCTCTAGAATATCAGCCTCACCTGGCCCCTCAACTGCTCCTGGAGGAGTCGTTGCCCATGGGAGACTATCAGAGGATGGGGCGGGGCTCGCCGCTTCCCCCAGGAACCTGGGCTGTCTCCAAGAATCTGTATCCTTGGCCAAGTGCCTTTGCCTCTGAGACTCAGTTTCCTCAGCTGTACAATGGGAAGACCTACCACGTCGTTGTCTACTAGTCACGTGAGACCATTAAGCGGGCAAGTCGGCAACCTCTGTTGCCTCGGATGCCAGTGCGGCTGCTGGGGCTGGGGGGAGAGAGGTGTGATTCCCCTGGCTGGAGTCAGAGGCCAAGGCAGAGGCATCTGGGCTGCTCCGAGCTGTGCGGGCTGGGAGGAGCCTGCGAGAAGGCAGGGCCTGCCTGGATTGGCAGCTGCAGGCCTGCTGGCAGACGGTCTCCTAAGCGGGCCACCGCGGGGTCAGCTTTATGGATTTGCACGTTAACCCTTCCCTCGCCAGCAGCCCTCAGACGCTGGTTCTTTATGACTTTGACCTGACCCACTGATGTTGTTGGGCCTCTAACTGAGCTGTAGACTTTGCACATTAACCCTTCCCTCGCCAGCAGCCCTCAGACGCTGGTTCTTTATGACTTTGACCTGACCCACTGATGTTGTTGGGTCTCTAACTGAGCTGTAGACAAGACCCTGACCTACATCTTATCACTCCCCTCCCCATCTTATCACACCCCAGGAGACAAACCATCCCTCGGATGTGTGGGTACTTTACAGTATGCAGAGCCAGACTCTTTGGTCCTCACAATACTCAGGACTGGGCAAGACTGATGACAGAACAAACTTGTAATATTATCACTTGTATTCATACTAATTTTTGTAAACACTTACATACAAAAAAGAAAGTATCATTGCACAGAGAGTAACCACTACAAATATTTTGGAGTTTATCCTTCTGGACTCACTAACTCACTCTTGTTCTCTCTTTCTCTCTCATTTTCTCATCTCAGTCTTTCTCTCTATATGTCTTAATCAACTTGGGATAATATTGGGCATTTTTTTAATTTCAGATTTTTTTTTCTAATTTAACAATACGGTCCGAGTATCTTACTATGTCAGTAAATACCCATCCACCTCGTCATTTTTAAAAGCCTGCATAATATTCCATTATAGGCATTAATCAGAAGTAATTTTCCTATCCACCGTTGTTGGATAACCTCACAGAGCAGAGGAGGAAACAAATTCAGAGAGGCTCAGTGACTTGCCCAAGGTCACACAGCTTGTCAGTAAGAGCTTGAACTTGAATTTTGGTCTTGGAACTTTAAAGTCTGTTCTGTTTTTTAGAGTAAAAGAAGTGAGGGTTTAAGAATGCTGCTCCTCAAAACCAACATGGACCGAAGCTCACTCCAAGGGCAAGTCCAGACAAGCCGTGCTTGTTGACTGTTCACTCGGCTCAGTTCTGTGTTAGAATCTCAGCCCTGTCTTTATTTGCTTTGTGACTTTGGGCAGCCTCACTCCCCTCTCTGGGCCTCAATTTCTTCATCCATAAAACAAGGCTGTTAAGATCTAGCTTATCAGGCCATTGGGGGGATTAGATTAGGTAAGAAGTTGTCCAGCAAGTATGTGGCACAAAGTAAGTGCTCAGCAGTGAGGCTCATACGATTTCACTGCTGCTAGGAGTTTTGATATTACTACTGACAAGAATATTACTAATGTTCTTAGTATTATTAATATTATCTAATATCTATTATTATTATTATCTAATATTATCTAATGTTGTCTAATATCTAATAATATTAAAACTCTAATCGTAGCACTAGCCCCAGTGCAGGGGCTGTAAGACTTCCCGCTGAGCCTCTCCTCCTCCCGGGCCTCAGTTTACCCACCTGAAAGTGCGGTGCTGCCCTTGGTGTTCCTGAGGGTGGTTCTGTCCTCACTCCCAGCTCCTCGCGAGGATGCATGTTAACCCCTTGTGGGCTGCGGGCTGGTCTGGTCCCCTCTCCTCCATCAGTGCTCTCTCTCTCTCTCTCTCTCTCTCTCTCTCCTTCCCCCACCAGCCAGAGCCAACTGGCTGCCCCTCCTCCACCAAGTCCCCCGGCCTTTGACACTAATTGATACGGTGTTTCCCCCGGTGTTTCCCCCTCTAATCCTGCCTCTGCCTCCGGGGCCCTTGTTCCTAGGGCATCTGCTTGATGAGAGGAAGAGGAGGCAGGGCCCACCGCCACCCGCCTGTCTGCCATCTGGTCCCCTTCCCCTCCCTCCTCTCAACGCCGCCAAGAAAGATCTGTAATGAATCCGTGGCCCCCGCCCAAGGGGCTGGGGTGAGGCCAGGCGCATGCTGGCTGTGTACATGCATGCGTGCGCGCACACACACACACACACG